ACAGTAGAGACCACCACGGAAGAATCTACTACTGTAGAAGCTACCACTGAAGAAGCAAGTACGATTGAGAGAACCACTGAAGTAACTACAGTGGCAACAACAACTGAACCTGCAACTAGTAGCACAGTGGAAACTACGACTACAATAGAGACCACCACGGAAGAATTTATCACTGAGGAAGCAAGTACGACTGAGGCAACCACTAAACTAACTACTGCGGAAACAACTGAAGCTACACCTACTAGCACAGTAGCAGCTATATCTGCAATACAGACCACCACGGAAGAATCCACTACTGTAGAAGCTACCACTGAAGAAGCAAGTATGATTGAGACAACCACTGAAGTAACTACAGTGGTTACAACAACTGAACCTGTAACTACTAGTACAGTGGCAATGGCAAGTACAGTCGAGACCACCACGGAAGAATCGACTACTGTAGAAGCTACCACTGAAGAAGCAAGTACGACTGAGGCAACCACTGAACTAACTACTGTGGTAACAACAAGCACAGAAAAATCAACTACAGTAGTCACTACCACTGAAGAAATGGCAGTAACAGAGTCCACCACGACAGAGGCAACCACTGAATTAACTACGGTGGGAACAACTGAACCTACACCTACTAGCACAGTGGCACCTACAACTACAATAGAGACCACCACGGAAGAATCTATCACTGAAGAAACAAGTACGACTGAGGCAACCACTAAACCAACGATTGTGCTAACAACCACCACAAAAGAACTAACTACAGTAGAAACTACCGTTCTAGAAACGACCATGCCAGTATTTACAACAACAGAGACAACTATTGCTGAAACTACGACCGAAGCAACGATCGTAGTAAAAATAACTGAACCTTCAACTTCAATCACTATGGCAGCTACAAGTACAATAGAGACTACTACTGAGGTATTAACTACTATTGAAGAAACTGCCATTGAAGAAAAAATTACGACTAAGACAACCACCGAGTTAACGACACTGGTAACAACAACTGAGCCTTCAACTACTGCCACTGTATCACCTCCAACTACAATAGGGACCACCACGGAAGAATCAACTACTGAGGAAACTACCACTGAAGAAACAACCATGTCAGAATCCACCACTACAGAGGGAATTACGACTGAAGCCGCCACCGAATCGACTACCGTGATAACAATAACTCAGCCTGTAACTACTAGCACTGTAGCAATCACATCTACAATAGAGACTACCACTGAAGAAACAACCATATCAATGTCCTCCACGATAGTAGCAACTACGACTGAAACAACCACTGAACCAACTACCGTGATGACAACTAAACCTACAACCACTAGCACTGTAGCAATTACAACTATAAGAGAGATTACCACTGAGGAAACAACACCTGAGATTACCACTGAAAAAGTAACTGTAGCAATACCAGCAGTGCCTGTGACAACAGTAATGACGATGGCAACAACAGAATCCACAACAGAGTTTACTATCATAACAACGGAAGCCGAATACATCGTTGAGACCGAGACTGTGCATGATACTGAATATGAGAAGGAATACAAAGAAGCGTACGACGAAGAGGAGGAATACGAGGGTGAAGCTACCGAGGCATTTCCAAAGTGGTCGGACTACGTAGCTGAAGAGGAAACTACTTTAGTCAAACCAGTGAAAACTTTAAAACCAAAAGTAACAACATCTAAGACAACACCCTCGCATGTGGTAACTATTGAAACTCCAATCAAAGTTACTACACCAGTGATGAAACCTTCGAAGACGACACCTCCTGCGAAGAAGAAGACTACTGTATTTGAAACAACAATATCAACAACTGAGGAACCATTGTTGGTTAAAGAAACCACCGAGACTACTGAAATGATAACTATGCATTTGACAACTATTGAAGAAATTACCACAGAAAGTCCATCTACATTTACAACCTCGACTACAACAGAATCGACAACTGAATCTACATTAACCACTACAGAATCAGTTACGGTTACAGAAGCTGTGAAAACTACCGAAACAAAAACTATACCTGTGATACCAAAAACAACGACAGCTATTTCTACAAGTGAAGTCATAATAATGACAACAAAAGAACCAACTAGCACCATTGAAACGTCAGAA